AGAGTTGGAGTCTCACTCTGTCACCCAGGCTGGAGCACAGAGGCATGCTCACGGCCACCACAGCCTCAACCTTCCAAATAGCTGGAACCACAGGTACGTATCACCACACCCAGCTAATTTTACGATTTATTGTAGACGAGGTCTCGCCAGGTTGCCCAGGCTGGTCTGGAACCCCTGGGTTCAGGCAATCCTCTCTTCTCAGCCTCCCAAAGTGCAGGGATTATAGGTGTGAGCCACCACACCGGGCTTCATGGCTCTTTTAAAGAAAATTTTTCTGCTGAGCCCAGGATATAAAGAGCTGCAGGCCTGTCCCCAGCCCTCCCTGGAAGCTGGGGCAATGCTTCTCAAGGTGTGGCGAGGACTGGGGTGAGGGCACATGAAAATGCAGATCCAGGTGGGGGCATGATGGCTCAGTCCTGTAATCTCAACACTTTGGGAAGCTGAGGTAGGAGGACTGCCTGAGCCCAGAAGTTCGAGACCAGCCTGGGCAACATGGCAAGACCTCATCTCTACAAAACATTAAAAAAAATTAACCAGGCAGGGTGGTGCACGCCTGTCGTCCCAGCCCCTCCGGAGGCTGAGGCAGAAGGATCGTCTGATCCTAGGAGATTAAGGCTGTGGTGAGCCGTGATTGAGCCACTGCACTCCAGCCTGGGCAACAGGGTGAGACTCCAATTCAATTAATTAGTTAATTAATTAAATAAGATGCAGATCCCAGCTGGGTTCGGTGGTTCAGCCTGCAATCCCGTGCTTTGGGAGGCTGAGGTGAGTGGATTGCCTGAGCCCGCAGATTCGAGAGGCGCCTGGGCAGCGAGACCTCATCTCTACAATAAATCAAAAATTAGCCGGGTGTAGCAGCACACGCCTGTAGTTTCAGCTAATTGGAAGGCTGAGGTGGAAGGATCGCCAGAGCCCAGCAGGTCGAGGCTGCAGTGGCCACTCCCGGGAGCGGCCACTGCACTCCAGTCTGGGCGACAGAGTGAGACTCCAACTCAAAAAAAAAAAAAAAGATGCAGATCCCCAGGCCCTGTTGCAGATCAGACCCTCAGGGAGCTGTTTACTGGTAAACTCTCTAGGGGATTCCATGCCAGCACAGTTCTGAGGCTGCGGGCGCCTGGAGATGTCTGGTCTGTGGTCTGCGCAGACCCCGTTCCCTCCCCGACTCCACCACTACACTTACTCCGTTCGCTGAGGGGTGGCTACGGTCCGGACCTGGAGGAAGAAAAGGGGGAGTGTCAGAAGGGAACCACACCTGTGGGTGTCAGGGTCCTGAAATTCCAAGTCCTGCCTCTGCTGTCCGATGGGGGCCCCAATTCCCTTAGTGGCTTACACACTTGTCAGCCAGGAATGACGGCTGTGCTCCTCTAGGATTTGGGCATCGTTATTCATTTGGTTGTTAGATACACATAAATATTCACTGGGCTCTAGAGCCAGATAAATGGGTTCAAATTCCATCTCTGTTCATTAGGAGCTGTGTGACCTTGGACAAGCGGCTTAACCTCTCTGTGCCTCAGTTTCCTCAACCACCAAACAGGGGTTTATTTAGCACCTAGCACTATTATTCAGCAAATAGTAAATGTCTACTTAGTGCCAGGCATATTCTAGGCACTGAGGATAGAGCTGCGAATAAAACAGACAAATATCCCGCCTCTTGTGGAGTTTATTATGTTGATAATAACAGCTGGGTGTGGTGGCTCACGCCTGGGAGGCCTCTTTCCCAGGGACTCAGAAGGGCCTTTCCAAGTGAACTTGGCAGAACCCTATCAACTGCATTTGACAGAAGCACAATTCAAAGTCCAAGCAGGCCAGGCACGGTGGCTCATGCCTGTAACCCTAGCACTTTGGGAAGTGGAGGAGAGGGGACTGCCGGAGCCTAGGAGTTTGAGACCAGCCTGGGTAACTTGGTGAGACCTCATCTCTATAATAAATAAAAAAATGAGCCAAATGTGAAGGCGCATGCCTGCAGTCCCAGCTACTTGCGAGGCTGAGGCGGAAGGATTGCCTGAGCCCAGGAGGTCGAAGCAACAGTAACTGTGATCTTACCACTGCAATCCAGCCTGGACAACAGAGTAAGACTCTGACTCAGAATTAAAAAAAGATAGCCATAATAGCAATACCAGTATAACTCGTGTATACCCAGTGTGTGGCATACAATGTGCCACCCATATTATCAGGTACCATCATCACCGTTTTACAGATGAGGAAGCCAAGTCACAGAGATTAAGCTGTTCGCCCATGGTGACATAATTAATAAACCGGCAGAGCGAGAGCCCAGACACTGGCAGGCTGGCTATGGGGTTGGAAGACATTTCCCCAAGTGCCTCTCTTGTGTCAGCCAGGTGCTAGGTGGTGCTAGGAACACAGCCAGGATGGTGACAGTTCCAGCTTTGCCCTCCTAGGGCTCAAAGTCCACTGGGGGAGGCAGACAAGTCCCCAGAGGGTGATGACCCAGAGTGGGTAAGGCTGGGGTGGAAAAGCCCAGGGAGGGTGCCTGGACCATCCTGGGGGGTCAGGGAAGGCTTCCTGGAGGAGGAGGGGGCATCCGACTGGAATGTGAGGGGACAGTTTTGTCTAGTGGCTGAGGGAAAAGCTTTATGGTCAAGGACCTGCCTTCTAGTCCAGCTTAGCCACTGTAAAGTTGTGGGACCACTGGCAGGTAACTCCCAGCTCCCAGAGCAAACACCCCCTCATCTGTGAAATGGGGCTACCTGTCATTGGGTGGTTGTGAGCACATGAAGCTCTCCTGACTACAGAACCAGCTGAAGCACTCTGCCAGGAGGAACCCTGGGAGGATGCTCCAGGCAGGTGGACAGCCTGTGCAAATCCCTTGAGGGGCAGACACATCAACTCACTTAGAGCTGAGGGCAGCAGAGGTGCCAGTTCCTGTCATAGATCCTGGGTGTCACTTCTGAGCAAGGTGGGTGAAATAAAGCTGGGGGGGGTAAGTCTTATCCCCCTGCCTCCACCTATCAGGCAGGGGCTCCCACATCACTCGAATTAAAAGCCAAAGTCGGCCACGAGTGTTGGTTCACACCTGTAATCCCAGCACTTTGGAAGGCTGAGGTGGGAGGATTGCTTGAGCCCAGGAGTTCGAGACCTGCCTGGACAACATTGCAAGACCTCGTCTCTATTTAAAAATAAATAAAACGGGCTGGGTGTGGTGGCTCAGCCTGTAATCCCAGCACTTTGGGAGGCCGCGGCGAGAGGATTGCCTGAGCCCGGGGGTTCGAGACCTGCCTGGGCAACTTGGTGAGACCTCGTCTTTACAATAAATCACAAAAACTAGCTGGGCGTAGTAGCGTGCACCTGTAGTTCCATCTACTTGGAAGGCTGAGGCGGAAGGATCGCCAGAGCCCAGCAGGTCGAGGCTGCTGTGGCCATGAGCGTGCCACTGCACTCCAGTGAGACTCCAGCTCAAAAAAAAAAAAAAAGAAATGAAATAAAAGCCAAAATCACTACTGTGGCCTTTGTGGCCTATGTGATCAACCCACTCATTCCTTAGGTATTTGAATAATGAATCAGTGAACCAATGGACAAGACCCTCTGGTTTTGGACTGTCACGTGTCCAGTGGGGGCAACTCCGGGCACAGGGGTGAGGATTTAGTGAGAGGCTCAGCACAGAACCCAGCACATAGCAGGTCCTCAATTACAGTGGCTCTGGTGACATTCACTCATGGCAGACAGATGGGAGCACCAAACAGGAAGAAACTCACGGGAACTTCTGAGCTGACAGAAATAAAACAGGGCCCCCGCCAGAGCCAGAAGAGCCAGGATTCCGAGAATCAGCAGGATGATTGTCTGAGTGGATATGCCTATGTGTGACTGCTCCCTGGAAGGTTTCTCTAGAAGAAAAGAAGGAAACCAGTTAAATAGGTAAGGAAACTTTTGGAATTTTCACCTGTGGGGCAAACATTACCCCTCAATCCTGAAATGGCACCTGGAATTTCCCTTAGGGAGCTACCACTCTGCTTCCCTCAGTCTCTAGGGTTCAGGAAGACTTGGCCACGCTCTCTGGCTCCCAGGATGGGGCTCTGACTCAGGCCTGGCCAATCAGAACATTCCATTCTCCCTGGCTGCTGTGATTGGCTCATAGGTAGGTGGTGGCCTCAGGTGGGCCAATGACAGCCAGCTCTGGAACTTTGGCTGTGGCTATTGAAAGTGATGCGTTCCCCCGCGGATTATTAAACTGACCGGATGTGAGCCTGTAGCTGCTGAGAGCCTGCCTGAGAATAAAGCCACTATGAAGAAAAGCAGAGACAAAGAGATGCATTTAGAAAAGTATCTGGGTTACATGGTTGGAGCACCGGGTTCTAATCATGCCTGAAGGTATATTTTCTTTCTTTTTTTTTTTTTGAGTCAGAGTCTCACTCCATCACCCAGGTTGGAGTGCAGAGGCATGCTCATGGCCATCCTGGCATCAACCTGTTGGGCTCAGGCGATCCTTCTGCTTCAGCCTTCCAAGGAGCTGGAACTACAGGCATGCGCTACCACGCCCGGCCAATTTTTTGATTTATTGTAGAGATGAGGTCTCGCCAAGTTGCCCAGGCTGTTCTTGAACC